TTTGAATAATTTCATAGTTTTGTTATGACTTTCCCCATTACATGCATCAGAGAGCTGCACAGGAATAGGGAAAGCGGTAATACCACAGGTATCCGCAGTAATCTACGGGAATGGGGAAAGCGGTAATACCACAGGTATCCGCAGTAATCTACGGGAATGGGGAAAGCGGTAATACCACAGGTATCCGCAGTAATCTACGGGAATGGGGAAAGTGGTAATACCACAGGTTTTGGTGCATGTGGGGACATGGCGGGGGTGGTTTTGGTGCACATGGGGACTTAGTGGGGATGGTTTTGGTACATGCTGGGATATGGTGGGGACAATTTTTGTTTCATTTCAGATGTTCGTGAGGATATATGGGAATGGGGATAGATATCATCCCTGTGAAGCTCTAATATGTTTGTCAATAAATAATGTTGCATGTTGTTGCTTGTTTTCTCTCCCACACTGTCCTCCCACAGGCCAAACCGTCTTCCGGGTGCCTCGGCATCCAGCATGTTTGTCACTCCATCTGACTGTGGAATTATGTATCATCACAAACGCTCAAAGATGCTGGCAGCTGCAAAACCGAGGCTGGCCGGAATTGGCGCACTGTGGGTGTGCTGGAGGGGAAATGAGATCTGGCAGAGGGCAGGGGGTCAACAGTCAATGAGTTGCACAGAAATGGTGTATCAGTTTTTATTTGCACGTTCATTGTGTGTTAAATTCAACATACAAGTTAGCATCAGTGTGATATATTTAGCATAGACTTATGGCATTATGTAGTTTTAAACACAGTTCAATGTTACTGTTTTATTTGCATTTCCCCACATAAAAAGTCATTTACCTTAAACCATTACTGGCATTTCGACGTCATTGTGGTTATTACAATTAATGCTTTTCTTTTTTTGTATTTTACCCCAACTCAATACAAGAGACCAAACATTGAAGGGGGTGGGCAAGTTGGCATAGGGTGGGGGGGTGCTGGGATAGCAATCAGGGCGAGGCACCCAAAAAAATACATTTACGAAGTCCGGTGCCATTGCAGGGGAAGTCTGCGTGCAGGGGAGGTCTTTCTGCCAACAGGTCACTATCAAAACAGTCCACTGCCAAACTGCAGCAAATATAAGGGGCGAAGCAGCAAAGCGTAAGGGGAGGGGCCACACTAAACATCACACCCCCCACCCTGTCAATAGTGTGCTCTCTGCACTGCCCAGAAAGACATTCGGGGGGTAGAGAAGAGAAGCTCATAGTGAACCACACATAAGTTGGAACTTAGTAGTTTCAGGCCTCATGCACACATCCTGACTGTTTTGTGCCTGGAGCAAACAGGATGAATCACAACTGCAGCCCCCAGCACACTCTGAGTGCAAATGTAGCCTCTTCAGCATGACATCTGGTGTGAGCATACATCTACACAGGAAGACAACTATCCCACATGGAACAGAACCATCACCGTCAAACTCACTGCTTAACATTATGTATGCTTTTACCATGATCTGTATGGGATTTAATGTGACTTCTATGTTAGCGTTTTCTAATATACAACATGTACTGAGATTTTTTTTTATCATATGGGACACATCACTTTGAATGGGCGTCCTAATTGTGTATAATAAGGTGTGACTAATATTGAATATGTTGTGTAAGAGCTCCCCCCCACTGATCTAAATTAGAGCACCACTTAACTTGCATGCTGAAAATCCCCACTTCTGCTTCCCCTGTCCATCTGTCCAACACAAGTGTGTCCACAATGCCAATTCCCCCCCGCCTAACTGTACCAGCTGCACCTGCAGCCAGAGGCCACACGCACACACATGTGCGCACCTTCCATAAAAGGACGCCCTCCCCACAGCCGGCTGGGGAAGATGGATGATGTATAATAGTATAAAAAGGAGGCACGAAAAAATTAGGGAGATGAAAATAATGAGTGGAGAAGACGAAGGAAAGGAGGGAACAGGCGAGCAGATGAAGGAGCAAGACAGAATAAAACTGACTCGACCGCATGGGAGAATCCTCGTGACACACCCCCGCTCTCCTTATGCTTGCACCCCCCCACCCCCAGGCAGCCATGTTAATCACTGGCACCTTCACACCCTTTCTATTCCCTTGCATCCCGTCCCTGCCGTGTCACTCATGAGTCACTGTGTGGCGTCTGATACCCGGCCTGGTGTCGTCATGCTCCCAGCATGACCCTTTACTCACAGCACTTTGAAAATGAATCTGCCTGCAGTCACTGGTAATCCTGTGGCAGAAATACAGTAGGAGGATGCTGCTTAATTTTCCCTTGCTGTGGTTCAAGTAAATGGAAATAATGACTGAAAAAATGACAAAAGCAGCCCTGTTTGAAGCAGGGGCAGGTGCTTGTTTGAGACCCCAGTCCAGGTGCTAATCTGGATTATTTTATCTGCGATTTAAAGGCACAAACAACTGGCTACACAAGTTTCTGACTGCAAAGCCCAGATCATGGGAGCAGTGAACACTACCCAGAGGAAAGCTGTGGTTCTTTCATGGTGCTCAGCTGAATCGAAACAAACTTTCGGAATCTGTGTGTCATACCAGCCTCAGAAAGTGGCCTTTACAAGATGGAGGAGACAGATCCTCCAAAATAAACATCTGATATTTCCCCATTCTACACTTTTTAGATGCTATTTTAGAATTTACTGCTGGCACCTGAATTCCGTCCTTTCCCTGCCCCCATCTCCCCTTCCCAGGACGTCCCCTGAAGATTTTACCCCTGAACGGAGATAAGGTTCCCGCCACTATGTTAAGTTCCATTTCCTTCCATCACTGATGCCAGAATAAGTAAACTGGCAGATCAGCAAGTTTATACACACATTTGGAATTATAATGGAAATTGTTTTTCACTATGTACAGTTTCCCCCTTTCCCCACAGGAGCAATAAGAAAAGCCAATAATGATGTACCAGATAGTGAAGCACCTGCAGAAGCATCGAAAACAAAAACATACCTGGAAATGAAGGACAGCACCAGAGGGGGAAAGTTCATGCCCAGAAAGTACAAATCGAAACCAAGATATTGTTTCAAATACCCAGAGTACTGCAAATACTCTGAGTTCTCCGTGAATGTAACTCTTTATACTCAACTGGTCAGTTGAAACAGAATCTTGGCCCAGATTTGTACTTTCTGAACCTGAACCTTCCACGTCTGGACAGCAGAAAATCTCCACTTCTGTCCCCTAGTATGAGGGGGAGGGCAGTGATACACCAGCCCTGTATTATATATGAGGCTGGTCCATGTGGAGTTACATCCGTGCCCAAGGGGCTCTGTCCTACGACAGCCTGGGCTCTACGTCCAAACAATGCACCTTCGAAGCACAACCACAGCGTGATTTCAGACAGCAGGCCCCAGGCACAACAGTTTACGCCTCTGATACGACAACCCCAGAATTATGCGTTTGTGTCATCGAGTAACGGCCACCAGGGCACCAGTGATGTTGGTATCACACTCTGGGCAGGGACTTTTAACATGCTGAAATGGTACTCCAAAGTAGGAATGCCACCAATGGCCCAGTTTACAAGAAGTCTGGGAGCGACCATAATGTACACATGTTAATATATGGTAAAAATAAGCAACATATATTACAAAATCTATCGTCCTGCCTTAGTATTTAATACATAATAACGTGCATTTTGCAATATTAGAAACTGTGGAATACATTTTACAATGTATGCACAGATTTTTAGCATATCCTGAATATTTTGGCATATATCAAAATGGAATATGTTTTGCATTTAATATTTTAACACATTGTTTTTTTCTGTAAGGACACTTACAGGTGAGCGGCTCAAACTGACACTAAGTGAAGGGAGGAGAGACTCGCTCAGCCCAAGAAGAGACCACCTCATCGTTCCCAACTTTCCAAGGCAACTCTGGTACTGGGATTCCTCCGCTGTGATGCGACAGCAGTGAACGCTAACGAACGACAGATAACGAGCAACGGCAGACGGCACACTAAAGAAGCCTTCATAGGAAGGGTCCGAGGAAAACACAGGGGACCCTGTTCTGAGCCGCGGGCTTCGTTAAGATGCCGTCACTGGACGATGGTATTATGTATGAGGTTGGGGGAATGGGGGGGGGGGGGGGGGGGGGCTGTCAGTTGTTGAGAATTTGATTCTCCTTTCTCTGTTGCGTATTGGGAAGTGTATAGAGTCCATTCAGTTTATTGCATGCCCAAACAATGACGAGCTAAATGACAAAATAAAAGAAAATAAAAAACAGAAGCAGTTAGGGACACATATTATTGGACCTTGGAATGTATAATTACGCAATCC